AAGTGCCTGTGTATGGCTTGTAAGGCCTGCAGTGGTTGCCAGCTGTCAGGTGTCCTCAGATGGTACCTACATGTCGAGGGTGTGTTCCAGCTGGTGCCCGAGTTTCACCAGTGCTTACCCACCCAGTCGCGGCCTGGAACGCCTGCTGTCAGGCCTCCTTGGGATTACTATTTATCTATTTGACCGCGGGTCAGCTAGCAAGCAGTAATCACGGAACGCTACCAAAGATGCATGTGGACCAGTGCGAATTTGATGTATTTAGGATGGATGGTAAATGCTGATATCTTGAACAGATTAATTGGGAACATACTTGTAAAAGCCGAATGAGGCGACTCAAATACATCACCATCAGGTTCTTGCAGAGTTTCCAGCAAGATGATCGTGTGACATTACAGGTCGAGATCCGTCTGGCGTCCTCAAGGCCAGATTTGCCCAGACCTGCTTGAAAACTCCGCCGGTTTCGGAAGACGCCCTGGAATCAACAAAAAGCTGGAAGATTCTCGGGGAAATTCCGGCACGGCAAGAGATCACAGTGGCTCTGGGTTGCTTGGTTTCTGTCCGCATTCCGTCTGCGAAGACAGGGCATCGAGGAGATGGACGCTGCAAGCTAAGCTTCGTTGCAATCTTGCTCAACGTCTCAAGTTGTGCACACGAGGCAGGTTGCAATGAAACTACGCAAGACGCGAATAACCCAAAATTTACCATAGTAGCTTCCATGAAACTCCGTTTTGACTGAGGCCGAAGTGCGTGCCATTTGCGAGAGAATCGATGCCCGAAGCTTGGCGGTCCTGAAAAATAAGTGCTGCAGATGACATCCAAAGAGATCAGCAGCATCCTATCCAGCCATTATCCGGCCAAGACCGATCGCAACGGATGCATCTCGAAGTTGGAGCTGATCGCGGCTGTCCAGAAGGATCCCAAAGTCTTCAGCTTAGCTCTGACTGCACGTCTGCCACTTCTCATAGGTCCCTTGCAAAATCCTACCAGGTAGCTGCTTTCGTGCTGCCGGATCAGGACAGTGAACGCCTGGCTCTCAAGTCTTGACTGCCCTTGGTTTATTGCGAGTCTGCCGCTTAGACTCCACCCTGATCTCTAAGATCGCAGCGACGAAGAGACCTTCGATGCGGTAGATGCGATCTTTGATCAGATTGCCGTCGGCAAGTGGGCCCCCAAGAAACAGAGCAGTGGTAGGCATGCTAAGCGGCTCAGTATTGTCATGAGCATTTGAAGCACATGCTGAGCAGAGCCCTGCAAAGTGTTGCTCCGAAGCAGGCAGCGCATTAAGTACACTGACCTGGCTGCGCACTTTGAAAAGGCCTGCTGATTGATCTGCATGTTTCCTGGAGGCTGCTCACCGTTGGTTTTGACTGATGTTGTTCTTGCCTTCTCTGCTTTCGTTCTGCGTGCTATCCGCGTGAGTTAGTTTCCGTGCTGATGAGAGGCAAGCGCAGAGAAGATAGATAATACGGATGAGCTGTCGGCACCTTACAGCGTTCATGGACTGATTATACAAACGCAGCCTAAGTGGTAACGCTGCACCCTTCGGAACCTATTCAGATGGGAATTGTCACTTGGTTGGACCCAGCGTAATTTCAACCTGCAGCTGCTCTGAGCTTTCTGGCGTTTGAGGCGAAAGTTGTATGACCTCATTGATGCAGACAAGAGTGGTTCTATCTCGAAGCTGGAGATCATAGCCGCAGTGGAGGCTAGCTTGGTTGTGGCTTCTGAGGAGCTCCTGTGGAATCTAACAAGGTCTGCCGAGATTTTACAAGGGCACTGATCCTTTGTCTGGATGTCTTGGGCTCGCGGTGTGCTCCCTCAGGGAACGTTGTCAATATCAGATCAGCCCAGCACAGCGGGGCGAACTGGATCACCGAATGAGATCGCACATACCTGTGGCTCGGATCGGCTGCCTCTGCAATTCAAATCAGACGCCAAGCCGGGAATCAGATCACGGTCTAGGGACTAGCATTTTAGCGGGTTTCAGGGTTTAGGGCTTGGTCAGATTTGGGAGGGTTGGGAGATGTTCAGGCTTGGAGCGTGGGGTTGTTTGTGGATTAGGGCATTCAGCTGGATTTGGGCATGTTCAAGCCTTCAAGTTTGGGGTTGTAGGGTCAGAATTTAGGTTCTGCGGTTTTAGTTCAGGATGGTTTGGGGCTGGCTTTAGGGCTTAGGCTTTTTTTTTTCTGAAGGGTTTAGGGTTGCGGGTGGGGTTCTTGGGGTCTTTTAGCCTTTAAGGGCTGTTTAGGATTTAGGGCTTGGGGTTGTCTAGCGTTAGGATGTAGTATTGTAAGAGTTCAGGACTTTGGGAGGGGTTCAGGGTTTCTGGGCTAGTGAGACTCAACGGTTTAGGGTCACCATAGTATACCATACTATGTTATAATATACTAGAATACTAGAAGATACGATAATATACGATAATCTACGACAATATACTAGAACCCAGACTCAGGGGTTTAGGGTCTCATCGGTTTGATCGGTTTAGGGTTTACCGTAGGGCTGCTTGTTTTTGCAAGCATGAGGGGTTTAGGGCTCAGAGTGTGGGTTCGCAGGGTTGAGTGTGTAGGTTTGGTTTAGGATTCAGGGTTTAGGGGGTTCTGTTTAGGGTTGGGCTTGTTCAAGGTTTAGCACTTGTGTTCTAGCTCTAGGTTATTCGGGGTGTAGGGTGTGGGGAGGGTTTGGGGCTTGTTTTTGGTTTTACGGCTGGTTCTGGTGAGGGTTTAGGGTTGTCGTTGGTTTCGTCTGGTTCGGGTTTGGGGCTGTTTTAGGGTTTGGGCTGACGCTCCAGGCATGCATGGGAACTTGTGAATGGTTTTGAGCTAGGGTTCCGGGTTTTTCTCGACTTGTTCGCGGTCTCGGGCCTGTCACTTTTTTGGGTTGAGGGTTTCGTGGGGGGCCATGTTTTTTTTTCAAAG